TTGGTCAATTCATGAAAAATGGTTATTATTTTGTGTTTAGAGATAATTATTGCAAGGTTTATCATATAATTGAGTCAAATCAAGTCATTGTTGAAGTAGAGATGATAGAATAATTCCTTTACAATCAATACAATGCATTAAAAAATGAAATTGTAGATAATTCATGGCTTTGACACAAAAAATTGTCACTTGAATTTTCATGGTTTGAATCTTCTCAAGCAAAAGGACATAATGCAAGACCTTCCTGAAATATTCCCTCTGTCCCTATTTAGTTGTCCACTTTAGAAAAGACACACATATTAAGATAACAATAATTAACACAGTGAAGTTACAATTTTATCCTTATTTAATATGATTTCAAAAAGGATGAATTAAAACGTAGAAATTTTTAAAAAGTTTAAATGAGGGTATAATAGGAATTTTTTTTGTCCTTTATTGATTTTTCAAAATGGACAAGTGAATAGGGACATATAAAAGAGGAAATATGGACAAGTAACTAGGGACAGATGGAGTACATACTAAGAATAAGGTAGAGAATACTTCTATCATATCTTTATGTGTCAAATTAAGAAGAGGATGAAGAAGACGAAGATATCTCTCAAGAAGGAGAAATCTGAGATTGAGATGATGAACCACGTCCTCCAAGAGGAACAAAAATATTGAGTGAAATTTATCAAAGATGCAACTTTGTTGGTTTTTTTGAGAAAAAAAATTATGAGGAGGCAATAAAGCATGATGTTTGGAAGAAAGCCTTGGCAGAAAATATCAAAAAATTGAGAAAAATAATACTTGAAAGTGTGTGAGTATACCCAAAGAAAGAGAAGGTGAAACTTAAACTGAATTTACAAAACAAAATTCAATTAAGAAGGAGATATTCAAAAGCAATAGAGAAAGGCGAAATTCAGTTACAATTATGGTCACACGGGAGAACAACTTGTTGACATCTTCACCAAAATACTTCCAAGTGAAAAGTTTTGCCATCTTCGAGAAGACATATTGGAGTTGACAAGCAAATGAATTAGGGGGGAGGGGGTGTTGAAATTAATGAATTAGGGGGGAGGGGGTGTTGAAATTAATGCATTCACACTTTGATGTTTAGCCTTTTAATATTGTCTTAGTTTTTCAAGAAGTCTTTTAGGATTTTATAATACATGTTATTAGTTAATTGTGCGAGACTTTTTATTTTTTATTTGGAGTAGTATAAATAGTGATGTAATTGAAGATTTTAATCATTTCAAGTGATCGTAAGTAGCCTATATAAAACTTGAACATTCTTTAAAGATAGTATCCTTCTTCTATATTTCCTACAGGTTGAAGGTTTCACGTCAGCATAAAAAGTGTAAAAAAAATATAAAGGTAAGAAGTTAGGGAGGAGGCGATATAAGACCTAATTATTTAAGATATATCGTTGAAATTTCGGTTATAATTTAGAAAGGATATTTAAACCAATTTTTCAGTAAGAGGATTTTTTTGACTCAGCCGCCTGATCATTATTTATGTGAATGAAATTTCAAAGGTTACAAATATGGTAGTGTTGTGATAAACTTCATCTCCTCTTTCTCCCTTTTATAGTAAAAACCACCTTTTGAGATAAACCTCTTTGAAAATATAATTATTTTCTAAGTTTTCAATTTGTCCTTTCTAATAATGTTGTGGAAATAAGAAATCTCTTGGAACACACTGTGTCAAATTGTGTTTGTTAATCAATTTTCAAAAATGAATAATTGTGTTGTTATGGTTTGCATCAAAATAAAAACATAATATATAAATATGTCAATTTAACTTGGTCTTGACTGTTATCAATGCCCTCCAACATTGGACGTACACAAGTGGATACTTAAACATGTATAATAGTGAAATACACATAATAAATTTAGTATGTCACATAGGACACTATGTAGGACAATACCACGTAGAACATGAATTTCCATGTAGGACATGGGTATCTACTTGTTCAATCTATAAAGTTTAAGTGTCTAATTGAGCACATTCACAGTTAGAAATATATCAAGTAAAGACAAATTAAAATACACGTTTATATATTATGCCTAAAATAAATAAAAAATATCATTCTCACACGTTACTTAAATTTTCATCTCTCCTACACATGAAACTTAATTTTTTCAACATAATTAGCACATCACTTGCTATAAATATCATATGCATTCTACTTACAATCCATCTCAAAAAGAAGAAGAAGAAGGGGAAAATAAGAAGCATAAAAATAAGAAAAAATGAAATTGATGAAGTTTGTTGTGGTTATTGTGACTATTTTAGCGTTGTTGCTAAGTATAGCAAATGCACAACAATGTGGAATCCAAGCTGGTGGAGCTTTGTGTGACAATGGGTTATGTTGTAGTCAATTTGGTTATTGTGGCACTACTACTGCTTACTGTGGACCAGGATGCCAGAGCCAATGCAACTAAATCAAATTTCCTAGTGTGTTTTAGCTTAAAGGCTATTATAATTAAGAATAAGGTAATATCCATGTGGTTGTGTGATTAAAAATATATAAATTTGTATTTGTAGAATAAAGTGGGAACATGTATGTATTTGTGAGTTCCACAAGAACAAGAATATAGTGTCATCAGGTCATGAACACTATATGTGTACTAGTTTGTTTGTTTTCTATTTCAATTTGATGTTTATTAAGGTTGGTCAAAAATCACTTCATTACTTTTGATATCATCTTTATATGTTTTCTTCTTTTTTTTTTCCTGATATATTCATATAATAGGCATATGATTATTCATAATTATAATTGCAAAATATAATGTTGACAAATCAGTCAACAAATAAAAATATACTATTGACATATTATTAATATGGTTTGGTTAAGCGACCTACATATATATTGAAAAATGATATTTAAGAAAATCATAAATATGTTTAGGAGAAAATCTCCCATAAACAAGAATTTTAAACGACTAACAGTGAATGCTCTTTTTTTCTGTGATGAGAATAAGAATCTTCAATTTATAGATTTTCGAACTTTTTCGCTAAGAGAAGAATATACCAAATATAGAAGAAAAATATATTTTCCTTTCATCAAAAGTAAAAACATTTATAGTAATATATTTTTTTAAAAAAAAAATTTACTTCAAAAAGTTAAAAAAATAAGGGAAAAACTCTAACATATATATCTATCTCTCTATTTATCTATCTATCCATCTTCTATGTATCTATCTATCTATTATCTACCTATCTATCTATTTATTTGTACATATTTGTCTATCTACCTATTTATTTATCTACCTATATACCTATTTATTTGTATGTATCTGTTTATCTATCTATGTATTTATGTACTTATCTATTTCTATTTATTTGTATATATCTGTCTATCTATCTAGCCGCTCTTGTACTTGCGATATTAGGCTTTGGGTGATGTAATGCTTATTCTTTTTTATGTGTTTTCCATTGTGAAACAATTATTTATAGTATTTATTCATAACTGTATTAAATTGATATAAAAATATGTTGTGGTTCACCTACGATGATGATTGAATAAGTGTCATCACATCTATTTAGATTTTTAGATAGTAATACTCAACCATAAAATATAATAATAGCTCTACTACTTACAATTGGTAGGTTTCTTTTCAGTTGTTATGTTATGCTTTTCGTGAGTCAATTAACGAGATTTCAAGTTATAATAGATACATCAATTTAATATTTTAAAACATAAATCTAGATACTAAAAAACTATACGAGAAGTAATATAATATGATGAAAAAAGAACATCTTAAGAAGTTAACCAAGGTTCATCGTTTAATTCTCAAAAACAAAATAAACTATGACAAGTGATAAGAAGCTGAGGAAGTATCAGACAACATTTTTAGTGTTGTTTAACAAACATTAATAATTTTTACATATATAGTGTTTAAGACATGACACTATTCTTTTCCTAGTGAAAGTCGCATAAAACACTCTCACTTTATTCTAAAATTACAACTTATATCAAACACACACAATATACATGATTTATACCTTATTCTTTTTACAAGGCTCATCATATCATACGTTCATTAGTTGTGACCATCATTATTCTTGTGTTCATCATCGTTAAGTTTTTGACCTTTGCCAGTGGCATCATAACGGCGACAATTGCTCTGGCAACCAAATCCACAGTAAGCCCTAGTCGAGCCACAGAACCCATATTGGCTACAACACAACCTATTGGCACAGGCACGCCCTCTAGCTTGTCTTCCACATTGTTGTGCACTTGTCGCGGTTAGCAACAAGGCCAAAATCATCAAAATAACAACATGAAATTTCATTGTTTATTTTCCTTTAATATATTCTTAGTTGTTTTTACTATATGGTTTGAATTGAATTATCGAAGCATGCATAGTGGTATATATAATGAGTGATGTACAAATGATGACAAATTTGCATTCAATATTTGATAGCTACATGACTTCATGTGGATAAATTTAATTTCATGAATAGCTGCCTAGCTATATATGACTTGTTATTAATGGACAAAGATTCAAATGTCATCAAGGATTTTCATCATGGAACAAGTATTTTCAAGAAGAATATAGTTTTCTTTTTGTTATTCTTATCTAAATCTAGTAGCTATAATTCTATAAAATTATAAAATGGTAAATTGGGAAAGTAGCAAAAGAGATTCCATATTGTTCTTCGTTACGTCAATTCGAGCTTGGCTCGATATGCTCAATTGAGACGTTATAATGCAATCAATTGCATTCTCCGGTCTAATTATTATTATTTTTTTTATATATTTATCCACTAGGTCAGTCTGTTTCATTGCACCTAGTTTTATCTTAGCAGCTATATTTCGATTCATCCTCTTTTTTTCAAGGGTTCCATTATTGGACCTAATACAAAACAAAGTAATTTCTCATAGTCGAGTGATTTAATTTATAGAGAAATTTGCTCTTTTTCTACACATTATACATTTGAAATCACTTGGATTATAAAAAAAAGTCAATGGTCCAACTTATGGTATTTTTTAACCCTTATCCTATAATGAAGGCTTCCTTGTAATGTGATGAAATGATATCATGATCGCTGAAATGGATTCGCCTCTATTCTTTGCCTTTAAGCTACTAAAATAAACATACAATCAAGTTCACAGGTTAGGACAAAGAACCCTATATCGATGCTGTATTTGTATTAGAAAATTAAATAACAGAGGCATTTACAAAGGCAGAGGTGAAACAAGCTTTATGGGCGACCTGATGGATATGAGAGCAAATTTTTCAAGGATTGTTGGGGAATGGAGAAATGCTAAGAGGAGTAAATGATCACTCTAATACCAAAAGGAACACATGCAGGAAATGTCACAGATTACATGCCCATTGCATGTTGTAATACTATATACAAAGTGATATAGAAAATGTTGTGTAATAGACTGAAATAGGTACTCCCAACCATCATATCAGATAATCAAAGGGCGTGGAAGAACCATTGTACAAAACACACTCATCTGTCAAGATTTTGTGCGATTGTACAACAGGAAGAAAACCACCAAAAGTTGTTTGGTGAAAATTGATTTGAGAAAAGCGTATGACAATGTAGAATGGGGATTTATTGAAGAGATGTTACATGGATTAAATTTCCCATATAAGCTAAAAATATTTCAGTAGTGGACTGTGAAATGTTGGTAGATAAATTGACAAATAGAGTCAGAACATGGGGAACACGTAACCTATCATATGCCGGAAGAATACAAGTGCTAATGCATATACATGTCAACAATTTTCCTACTACCTAAGGAGGTCATGAAGAGTATAACGGCAGTTTGTAGGAATTTCGTTTTGAGCATCTAAAGCACCACTTGTAGCAAAAAAGAGGAGGCTTGGAATGAGGCTTCTATTGCTAAATGTGTGGAATGTAACAAGCAAAGCTGATAATCGTTGGGTCAAATGGGTGCACGAAATATATATATATATATATATATAAAAGGGGCAGATTGGTGGCAATAAAAACCGAGTGTGAATAGTTGCTAATACTGGAGGATAATTTATAGCATCAAAGATAAATTTACAGCAGGCTATGTAGGAAAAAAATGGGGAATATGCAATTCAAAGTGGCTATTGATGGTTGTCAGTAAATGGAAACCAATGGCCATGGTGGAGAGATACATGGAATACAATGAACGTAGTTTTATATGCTGGCTGACTATGCAAAGATGGGAATATGTGAGGAAACAGAATGCTTATTGTGTGGGTGCAAACCAGAACATCTCTTCTTTGAATATGAGTATTCAATGAAATGCTTAATGGCGGTACAAAGAACTAACCTGGAGGCTAATATGGAGGAGACTAGCAAGGAAAGCCACAGGGAAGATCAGCAGAGCACTTATCCGAGCAATAATAGCAGCCCTAATATATCATATTTGGCAAGCACAAAATGGAGCATTGTGGAACAAAGCAATAGTCAGACCGATGGAAATTATGAAGAAGATCAGGGAGGAGAGTAAAGGCAGATTTATGAGCAGAGGTATAAAATGTAAGGATAGAAAGTGGATAGATAACTTGTTTGTATAGAAAGGAAATTTCATAGAATAGAAGGGGAGTAGCAGGATGAGTTGGGTTTTTTTCAATAAAGCTATTGGATGAGGTTACTTCGTTCCTCAACTTTTTGAATATCATTCTCTTGGGAATTTAGGTTGCATAATCGCTATAATAGTGGAAAAAACTATCACACAAAATTTCAGTAAAAGGCAACGGGTTTTGATAACATTGGAGAGGAATTCAAGTTGGGATAAATTCAAAACCGATTCACAGCACGAGTTAGGTCATCTACGAACATATACCCAAAGTCTAAATTGACCTTTGTCAGAACAAGACCTCGCGGCTGCGTTCTTTTAAGCTATGAATTAAAGGAACAAACGTAGTTGAGTGAAATAGCAGGGGGGGGGGTTACACGTTCCACTATGCCGACAGATACACACTACAACCAAACTGAAAGTCAATCTTAAACAGAGAAAAAGACGAGTAGTAGTAGTCCACCAAAAAACACAAAATATTTTAATTCCAACTCAATGATACTGAACAGAATAATTCCAATTCAAAACCAAACATAAAGGTACTAGGAGAAAAACATATTGCAGAAACCATAAAATATAATGAGGGCTAGGAAAAGACCCTGAAATTGAGTTTATGTCTCTCTAAAACAAGTACTGATAGCGAACCACAAACAATATTCCGTTCTCAGCGGAAACCCGCCTTAGAGATTGAACGCCAATAAGATAAATTAAAGGAACAGAAACCAATAGACCCCATAGTTCTTCCTTGTATGTTGGAATTAGTATTTCTCATTCTTCCGATAAGCAGTCGAAGGGAACGAAAAATAATTCTTTACCCACAAATGCGAAACACTTCCCGGCTGAAAAATTATAAAAAAGACAAAACTAGTAAATAATTTTAGAACATATGTCTCTATGATAAAAAATAATAATTAAAAAAAGAGATCACTACGTTACCCTTTTCAGTTTATGCACCGGTCTTTCCTCTGCAGTGCCAGTAACAATAGATTTACCTTTTTCATTCTGCACAGTGAAATAAGACAGGAGATCAATATAATGTGATTGTAGATTGATCAACTGACGAGTCCGGTAGTTCGACAGCAATACAATGAGTAGTAAATTCAATGTGTTACCGAATGTTTTGAACTTACATATGAGACAAGTCTTCAACTTAATATGATATTGAGATGTTAGACATGTTTGTTGTTAATTGAGATATGATTACCAATTTACCATAAGGATAAGTACAAATGGGAGTAAACCTTGATGCATCCAGTAGTTAACAACGTGTTCATTAGACTTTGTTCACAGTGCAGAAATAACATACTTTCAGAAGATTAAATACTTTCATAACATATTTCGCTATGATAAAAGAAGAGGAAGAGATATATGACAAATAACCTCGGATGCCTTAGTTGAGGGAGCATTACGGACCTGAACCAGCATTTCCTTTTCAGTATTAATAGCTTTATCCTGTTCTTTCTGCACAGCGAAATAAGACAATATAAGTTGTAAGCATATTTTATGAAAATTAGTTTTCACATTATACATTTGCAAGTTATTGTATAAATTTGATTTTCAATATTAAACCATCATAAATAGAAATGGCAATGGAGGAAAACCAACAAGATTTAGAGTCATGAGTAATAAATGAAATCGGCAATGTGGATTAGACTTCTAGAGGAATTTTACGACCACACAATCCTAGCCGAGGTAGGGGAAAAACTTGGTAGGTTAATAAAGACAGTAGAGAATAGCAGAAGAAAAGTATAATTCGAGAAGCCTTTTGCTAGCCTCAAATAATTAACCTATAAAACATAACTTGTCTATGGAAGAAGACCCTTTTATTTGAGATATAAATACCAATTACCATAAGGATAAGTACAAATGGGAGTAAATATTGATGGATCCAGTAGTTAACAACATGTTCGTTCGACTTTGTTCATCGTGTGTTTAGAGACTACTGATAAATACCTCACTAATGGGAAGGTTGAAATGGCATACTTTCAGAAGATTAAATACTTTCATAACATATTTCCCTATGATAAAAAAAAGAGGAAGAGATATATGAAAAACAACCTCGGATGCCTTAGTTGAGGGAGCATTACGGAGATGAACCGGTATTTCCTCTTCAGTGTTAATAGCTTTATCCTGTTCTTTCTACACAGTGAAATAACACAATATAAGTAATAAGCATATTTTATGAAAATTAGTTTTCAAAACATTCGCAAGTTATTGCATAATTTTGATTTTCAATATTAAATTATCTTAGATAGAAATGACAGTGGAGGAAAACCAACAAGATTTAGAGCCATGAGTAATAAATGAAATCTGCAATGTGGATTAGACTTCGAGAGCTACCAATGGAATTTTACGACCACACAATCCTAGCTGAGGTAGGGGAAAAGCTTGGTAGGTTAGTAAAGACAGTAGAGAATAGCAAAAGAAAAGTACAATTCGGGAAGCCTTTTGTTAGCCCCAAATCGTTAACCTAGAAAACATAACTTGCTTATGAAAGAAGATACTTTTATTTGAGTTGTTCTTTGGTTTTTTTGTTTTTACAAATATACAATATCATCCCATATTTATACTAAACTATGGATGGTTCTACATACTACAAAATCTAGACTATTCCATGATTTTCTATAAATATATAATTACTCTAGATATTTCTACAAGATATTTATCTAAGTGACTACACTACATTATTCTAGAAACTTCCCTAATAATCTAGGATTTTTGTAATTCCAAAAAAGCATCTTTATTTTTCATACTCCCCCTTAAAGTGATTTTTTGGAAACTACCCCACACTTGTCGTGGAAGAGATCAAATGAAGCTTTGAGCCACGTCTAGGTAAAAATTCTCAACAATTTCTTTCGGACTCTTCCTTCTACAAATGATAAAGATTTTTCATTGTAAGTTTTTCCACGTAGATTATCTCCATATTGAGTTCTCAAACTTCTTCTCGAACTTAGCTTTCTTGCAGTTGTACTATTTGGAGATAAATCTTAGATGAAAAAGTTTGAAACTGCGATGCTCAAAATTTTAGAAAATGTTTCTTTTGATGCAATTCAATATATTGAGGGATTTCATTATTAATATCCTCTTCATCTCAATCGGTGATGATATTTTCATCTATTTCTTGTGAAGCCTTAGCACCATAGTAGGATACACCATCAAATTTCCTTCTGTGCTCTTCAATTACCTACTTATCATCTTTAGAGCTTTGGAAAGTTATATCGTCTATCGCTTCACCTGAAATTTGGTCTTCAAGGTCGGCTTCTCCATATATTTGATCAACTTTTTCTCCATTTGCTTCCAATATTTGATCTGAGTCAATGACTGGCCTCGATATAGCTAAAAATTGATCAATGACATCAACTTCCCATATATCTTTGTCAATATTTTCTCCATAAAGATCACCATTGGTATACATAGCTCCAGGCGTTGATTGTTCTGAATTTACTTCCTCTATTTCTTCAATGGAAGCTACCATATCACCAGTATAAACATCTTCAAAAGTTCTTGCTTCATATTGATTACATCAGTGTCTTGCTTCTCCACATGGTCAACTTCATTATATTCTGGATCCTCGATCCAATCTCTTTCAAGGTTGATAGAAACCATAGTTGCTCGAGCCTCAACTATACTAAAAACTTTCCCCATTCTTCTTCTTTTTCAACAACTTTTTTAGCCATATGGCTCGTCTATATCTTTTTATGTGCCCTGCTTCGCCACAACGATAACATTTGAGAGGCTTCTTACCATAATGTTTAGAAGGCTCTTCCTTCTCTCTAGGTGAGTGTGAACCACCTAAGGATAGAGAGTGTGACACATCTCTCATTTTTCCTTTAAAGTTTCTCTTGTCGGCTATAAGAGCATCTCATTCTCCATCTTTGAAAAACACACTATCGAACTTCTTGGCTAGTGATTCCTGTGACGAAAACAAATTTTCAAATTCCTCCAAGGATAGTTGTTGATTCCATCCTTGAATTAAAGTCACAAATAAAATATATTCAGATTTCAACCCACTAAGGATTATACTTCTTATTTGTGCTTCAGAAATAGCCTCCTCCGAATTCAATAAATATATCTACGACATGAGTTCTTAATCTTTAAAAAATACCAGACATAGAAAGATTACCTTCAATGGAGTTAGCTAATTCATTCTTCACTATCTATAGTCGAGCTTTATTTTCCTTTATGAACAAACGATCGAGGGTCCTCCATATTTCATGAGTTGATTTATACTTTATAATGTGATAAAATAAATCGGAGGAGATTGTCCTCTTTAGAATGAGCTCCACCTTTGCATCAACCTGCTTCCACTTCTTGTATATGCTACTATTTTCCGGTCCTTCAGCAGGAGAAATTGTCTTACTCCCATTCACAACATCCCACAAATCCTCACCCATAAGGTATGATTTCATATATTTTTTCATACCTTGTAATTAGACCGATTCAACAACTCCATCCCCAGTCCATTATATTAACATGACCTTTAGAATCCATATGGACAACCCAGATAAATCTACCTAACCCGATCTTGAATAAAATCCAAAATTCAAAAAATGACTGGCTCTGATACCATGTAGAGAATAGCAAAAGAAAAATATAATTCGGGAAGTCTTTTGCTAGCCCAAGATCGTTAACTAATATCAGAAGATTCAACTAAGGAAAAGGAAGCTAGAAAAGAGAACTTATTTATAAAAGAAGACTCTTTTATTTGAGTTTTTCTTGGGCTTGTTTTTACAAATATACTCATATTTATACTAACCTATGGACGGTTCTATATACTACAAAATTTAGAATAGTCCATGATTCTCTATACATATCTAATTTCTCAAGAACATCTACAAGAAAAGTCTGGTAACATTATCTTCTGCTCTAGATACTTATCCAAGTGATTGCGCTAAATTATTCAAGAAACTTTCCTAAAAGTCTAGGATTTTTGTAGTTCCAAAAAATCATCTTTATTATTCACAGATGTATGTACATTTGAGACACTATGAGGATGTTATGCCCATATCTGTGTGGAGGTCCCTATTGGTGTGTGTGAAAAAAACATACATATTTGACAGTGCATAAACGAACAATTATTTACGAGGGTTATACAAACTATGCACTAGATGTGGAGTTCTAGAAAGCACTATACAAAGTTGCTCAATCCATATATTGAACACTAGAACTCTGACTAAAGTAATCGGTGCTGGTGTCAGCTCTAACAGTGAAAGAAATGGCGGTGACGATAATAATGAAGAATTCAACAGTTACATGCTTGAGAAGAAGGAACTTGAAGCTAAGCACAAGAAGCATGACAAATGTAAAATTTGGAAAAGGAAAAAAAGTCATATCAAGCAAGTAATACCTTATGATTAAATAAGAACATAATCGTCACTAGTTATGTTCATCGTTTAAAACTTTCTTTTATCGACTGCAAGTCATATATGACTTGATAGGACTGGCAATTTGGTCACCAGGTCATTCGTTTGGTTATTATGTGTGTTTTCGTGTTTTGAAGCTTTTTAAACTTAAGGTGTTGACTTTCGGTAAAATTTTAGGTAAACAGACTCGGAATGCATTTCTAACGATTCTACTAGCTATAGAACGTCAAGTTTGATCTAAAAGGATCTTTCGTGTGGGCCCCAAGGCTTCATGGCTCATTTCAAGCTACCTAATGGATATTGGCTTTAAATAGAGTTTAGGTGTGGGAGACTATCATTTTTGGAAGTTTTGACAACTATGTTGAGTATTAAATGTCGAATTTGGTGACGTAACATAGTTCGTTGAATGCACGAGGTTTCTATTGAATTTTGAGCCCCCTTCATGGCACTTCGCCAAATCCAACATGAGTTGGTGAAGCCTTTGCTAGTGCACCATGCATTTGTTCTTCGAGTTCAAGGACCTAGAGTTGCATTCACAGAGGCCAAGAAATTGGTCACATCATTCGTAGAGTGTTAGGCTTCTCACCCTTTGTCGTTCACGGACTAGGTTCTGCGTACGTAGAGAAGGGTCAGAGTTGTCCTGGTCAGCGCCACCGCATTGCGTCAATGAGGCCCCTGGTCGTGGAGGTCATTTAATTGGCCTACTATATTGTGATTAACATGAATTTCATAATCATTTTCTAACTTTGTGAAGTTAATTTATGATCATTCTAGCTCCGCTTGAGCTGATTTTTATTGCGAAGTGCTGAAAATTGTTGGGGCTTCAAGATAGGACCATTTGTTTTATGTTGGGGACTCGTCTAGGAGGTTAATACTTGTCCTGAACCTCCCTTCTTAGACTTGTATGGTTATTTGTGATTCTTGTTGTTGCATGAGCTGTTTTGGCTCTTTTTGGAGATCTGATTGTTCCCGTTATTCGGGTTCAAGCTCCTTGAGATTAATGGGACTAATTGACGGAGTTAATTTTGGGATTTCCCTCTAATTAATTTGGAGGAAAAGTGGATAAAAAATTCATATGGTGAAAAAAGTGATAGTGTACAAACTCTTTTAAATCTCTAAATTTTGTAATTATATTTTCAAAATATAAATGTTTATTAACCATATGTAGGTATATTAAAAAAACTACATCACGGTCCAAATATGGAAGAACATAGTGGTGTTGGAATGATGTACACTCTACCGTAACACCTTCATAATTATTTTACTTCATAGTAAAATCAGACATCAAAAATTGTTAGCTATTTATTGACAAATATTTCACTAAGAATTCATAAGTTATGATATAATTTTGAGTTTCATTATTGAAATATTTTATACAACGCGAATTAAACATTTCTATAATGAAGGTTGATCATTTGTGTTACGCAAAAATATAAGAAATAATTTAATTCAAAATTAACCAATCAAATTATTTGAAAACTCTTTCGGCTAAAAATATACAACTATATCCACTAATTATGTAGTGGAGGGAAAGTGGAAAAAAGGACAAATAGTGAAGAGTAAAATAATAGTGTGTACAAGCTTACTTTATTTCCTTACTCGGAAATCTATTTGCTCAAATAATATAGCTTGGTCCCCAAATAATGGTAGTTCTATTAGCCTTTGGTACCATAGATGGATCTCGAATACCCCTCCCTTAAGACAAAGAGTTCAAGGGACATATGAAAATGCTACTATTTCTTCTATTTGGGATCACTGCCCTCAGAATATCATGGAAGAAGTAAAATTCATTAGATTAGGCCTTGATCCTTTGAACAATGACAAGCACTACTGGAAGGGCAACCCAAATAGTTTGTTC